ACTTGAGAGTATGAATGTTATGGCACTAGTTGTATTGGCCCTAAATCTGTCAATGGTTATGGAGAGGACAGAGAAAAAGAGGGGAAGAGGGATTGGAAAGAGGACTGGTAACGAAGATTAGAGGGGAGGGATTAGAGAAATAGGATTGGGGAACAGGAGGGGACAAGTGACTTGCGATGGTCCCACTGCCTAAGGATAAGTTAACTCAAGTTAATGGCAGGAAACGGCCAACAGGGGGAAAGGGAAGACTGACCACACAAGGGGACGGCAACAAGGGGAAGGGGGGAGCGAGAAGGTAGAAGGTAGAAGAAAGAAGGTAGAAGAGAGAAGGTAGAAGGGAGAAGGTAGAGGAGAGAAGGTAAAAGAGAGAAGGAAGAAGGGAGAAGGTTGGTCTGCACAGATTACAATGCAATGGTACCTTCGTTTACTATTTTAATCTGTTTCAAGAGACAGATCTTACACCAAAAAATCATAAACCAGAACGAATTTTCCGGTAAGAAATAATGTAAATTGAATTAATCCGTTACAGCAACCCGTTCTCGCATTTGCTTATAGCATTATTGGCTTATTTAATAAGTGCATATGTGACATACTAATTGATTGTGAATATTTTAGTTTACCTTGAAAAGCTTCATAGAAAACACCGACCTCACCTAACCTTCTTAGTATGTTAAGATAAGCATCTTATTGCTTTTTAATTACAATTATTACTTAACCTATACCGTTGATAGGTATAAGTAATTACAATTGTTACTTAACCTATACCGTTGATAGGTTAAGTAATAATTGTAAATAAGAAGCAATAAGATGCTTATCTTAACATACTAAGAAGGTTAGGCGAGGTCGGTGTTTTCTACGAAGCTTTTCAAGGTACACTAAAATATTCACAATCAATTAGTATGTCACATATGCACTTATTAAATAAGCCAATATTGACTGTAAGCAAGTGTGAGAACGGGTTGGTTACACACGCCCAAAAATATTAACTTAAAAATACATTTTATATAGAATACTACTCATATTTTTTATTAGAACGGGGGTGAGAATAGCTTGAGCTACCTCATCCCTTTGTGTGTATTTTACCGCAATAAACTTTTTTCAATTTCAATTTCATATTTTTTGCTATTCTGAACAGGTACCTTACCTTTATTGAGGACTCTTGGTGGCTTATGGAAGACTGTGAGGGGGAGGGGGGTGAGGAGGAGAGGAGTTAGTGTTTGGAAGGGGAGTCCCCCTCCATTATAACATCAGGCAGTGATGCCATTTCTGGGGTACTTCTCTCCTACATTTTGCCTGCATACCACTAGGACTTGGTTGTGGCTCACTGCTTGTTTGGCTCACTAAGAACCTGTCTATAGATACTTATTTTCCCTACGTCTTAACACTTGTCTGTAGTAAGATATCACATCTCTTGTTCATTCTCTATCGTCATCCTCACAACTATATTCTTAAGTTGAACTTTACCACTGACTTTTTTGGGACCCAAGGCATGATATATAATAAGAACTTTTATGTTCAGAAATCAAAAAAAGTAGAAAAACAATTAAATTCTTTACAAAGAATTCAAGCACAGTGGTCACACTAGGTGGGAGACACTGGTAAACACCGAGTGTGCCTCGCCCAGGCCACCATGCGCTCGTTTGACCCATGCAAGTATTTACAGGCGAACTGAAGTCCAGGACGGACTTGGGAAAGTTCAGGAACTGAACCTCCAAACTGATGACTGTAATGGAAGATACAACATTCCTAAGAGGGAATACCAGGTAGCAAGGAAGGAAAGAATAAAGGGCGGGGGTTTTCAGTCGCGTCACAACTGAATGGTCCTGGATTTGGTTCTTGAACAGAATTATTATTTGGGCACACTTCCTTACACCTGATGGTAATGTTCACCTGACAGTGAAAAGTTACCTGGAAGTTTGGCAACTGTTGTGGTATGCATCCTGGGGAGGACACAGCCATTGGTCAGTGAAAACCTAGACCTGATACCTCTGTTCACCCTGGCAGTAAATTGGTACCTGGGAGTTAGGCAGCTGCTGTGGGTTCGTGGGGAAGGTCAGTTGTGTGCATAGAGAGACCTCAATTAGCCTAACAGGCATCATGTCCTTGACATTGTGGAAGCCAATTTGTTGAGCACCTTTACATAGTAACATTATTGTTTATTCCAGCTTCCACCAATGTCCTATCTTCTCTAACTTTGAAGAATTCTGTTATTGTCCATCTGGCTTATTCCTATCAGTATCTTGCATGTACAGGCAGTGATCATGTTCTTTCTGTAGTTATGAGACTGAGCCGCCTTAACCTGTCCTTGTATTGGTCCTCTTAATTTTCATTGCAAACCACAACCATCACCTCTGTGTGTTGGGGGGCATACATGTGTCAGATTAAGGGTTATTCAAATATTCTTGATTGATTACATTCTTTTTTATGACATGAGAATAGATTTGAAGCTTAAGGTAAGAGTGAGTAACTGCCAGGGCCCAAAATATCTGTAGCCTATCCTGTATTCATCACACCTCACATCTATGATTTTTGCACGACCTTTGCTTTATGCCAGTGTGTATTCATTACTCCATTCAGTAACCATGCACCCCTCTGTACTCATTTGACCATCCTCTTCGTATTCTGAGATATGCTGGGTCAGGGATGCCTTTCACGATCGGCCTCAAGTGGTTGAAATGTGCACAGTGTCCATCCTCAGTATCTTGTCTCGGCTCCATGTATGATACTAGTGATACTGAACCATGTATGATACTAGTGTTACTGAATTACTGAAAGGTTTTAACACTTGGCCTCAACCCAAAAACTATCCACCCAGCCTCCTCCTCGCATGCTTTCTCTTCCTATGTGCATGTTTGTCAGGTTGTGCAGCATGTGGTGATGGGAACGTTGATGGCTTGTCCTCTTGCCATTCACCTGCCATGGACGCATCTCACTTGCTAATTGCATGTGCTTAGTTTTATTTTGATTTCATTGCAATATTTGCTATTGGAGGTTAATTTTAAGAAAAACTTTTTGCATGTGACTGAATGGGCAACAGAATAATCTAACTTTGAGAACTATAAAATTCAATATTTTGTTATTTTGTAGGATATGATTTTAGAATTAAGTACTGTACTGTAATGATGACATTTTTTAGCTTGTGATATAATTAGACAATACTGAGTGGTAATGCAGTGTGCCTTAAGAGTTTGTGTACAGAGATGGATGATAATCAAGGCTATACAGGTATTCCTGCTGTAGTGATTTTTTTTGCTTTGTGTGTGCATTATGCTCATTTATTAATTATTATTTTGGTTTCTTTCTTTTCCGGAACATCCTTCGTGGAATTGCCACATCTCTAAATCCGTGACTTGCCGCACCCCCAATCCACCGTCTCCACCCATAATCCATCCTGTCCCTGCTTCCATTATTATTCAACTCCCTTATCTTCCTTGCCCCTCTTCTCCCTCCATCATTTCTCTGGCTCCTCCTCCACTATCACTCCATCCACACTCCTGGCTCCTCCTCCACTATCACTCCATCCACACTCCTGGCTCCTCCTTCACTATCACTCCATCCACACTCCTGGCTCCTCCTTCACTATCACTCCATCCACACTCCTGGCTCCTCCTCCACTATCACTCCATCCACACTCCTGGCTCCTCCTCCACTATCACTCCATCCACACTCCTGGCTCCTCCTTCACTATCACTCCATCCACACTCCTGGCTCCTCCTCCACTATCACTCCATCCACACTCCTGGCTCCTCCACTATCACTCCATCCACACTCCTGGCTCCTCCTTCACTATCACTCCATCCACACTCCTGGCTCCTCCTTCACTATCACTCCATCCACACTCCTGGCTCCTCCTCCACTATCACTCCATCCACACTCCTGGCTCCTCCTTCACTATCACTCCATCCACACTCCTGGCTCCTCCTTCACTATCACTCCATCCACACTCCTGGCTCCTCCTTCATTATCACTCCATCCACACTCCTGGCTCCTCCTTCACTATCACTCCATCCACACTCCTGGCTCCTCCTTCACTATCACTCCATCCACACTCCTGGCTCCTCCTTCACTATCACTCCATCCACACTCCTGGCTCCTCCTCCACTATCACTCCATCCACACTCCTGGCTCCTCCTCCACTATCACTCCATCCACACTCCTGGCTCCTCCTTCACTATCACTCCATCCACACTCCTGGCTCCTCCTTCACTATCACTCCATCCACACTCCTGGCTCCTCCTTCACTATCACTCCATCCACACTCCTGGCTCCTCCTTCACTATCACTCCATCCACACTCCTGGCTCCTCCTCCACTATCACTCCATCCACACTCCTGGCTCCTCCTTCACTATCACTCCATCCACACTCCTGGCTCCTCCTTCACTATCACTCCATCCACACTCCTGGCTCCTCCTTCACTATCACTCCATCCACACTCCTGGCTCCTCCTTCACTATCACTCCATCCACACTCCTGGCTCCTCCTTCACTATCACTCCATCCACACTCCTGGCTCCTCCATCCATGCTCCTCCATCCACACTCGTGGCTCCTTCCCAATACCCATCATGTACCTCTATTATAATCTCTAAACTTACAAATTGTTGTCCTATCCATCACATTGTTTCAACTTCTGTTATTCAATATCATGTTTCATTTTTCTCTTACTCAATTTTGACCATTTTGTTGGATGTGTTCTTGATGTGGCTCTTCCTGTCCTTGTTTGACTTGGTCATTGTAAATTTTGTATTCTATTACAAATATTAACCATATGCTGTGCCTTCCAATATTTATCTCATCTCATTTTCAATGCGATATGCTTTTAACATGTAAATCTGACACTTGACCATTGTCTTATTTCCTAACCCTAATTTCCTAATAACTGAACAAACCATTATTCACTTGTCCTTGCTCCTTCAATCAACGATCCATCCCCCCTACCCCCACACTACCCTGTTGGCCCGTGGTTCCTCCGCTCCTTCATCCTTGCCTGCGAACACCTAGGTTACGTGTCTTTTGCCGGTGGCTCTGGTAAGTTAGTAGATTCAGGCTATGCTTGATTTTTGTTTTCATTGTGTTTTGCTTTGTGGTGTGGAGACGTGTTGTGTGTTGGCTCTGCTTGTATCTCAGTGTAGCTATAACTTTTCATGTCTATGCATGGTGCAATGTTGCTTTCTTCCTTCAGTGTTAATGGCTTATGCTCTGTGTTTTGCAGTTTGGCAAATATCTCCATTTTGAAGCATTATGTAAATTACCTGCTAATGTCCACTCTCACAGTGGGTGATAAACAAATAAATCATTATCTTAATATAGAAATTGCAGTAGGAAAATTATAAGGATGTCGTTATCAAGGTTGCAGCAGCAGCAGCAGCAGCAGCAGCTTGCCTTGACAATATAGAGGACACCATAAGTCTCTAATCTGATGTTAATCAAGTCTTTCAATAGACCACAGAAAATAACATTGTTTAACCCTTATACTGCACATATTACCGCACATATTGATGGCCTGGTAGCGAAAAATATTCAAATTATGTAAAAGTACTGTAACTCAAAAATGTTAAACAAATCTCCAAGTTTTTGGCTTCAGTGTCGTGACAATTTCATCAGAATATTTTCAGAAATTCATTTTAGACGAAATTTTGAAAAATAAGAAAGTTTTGTTGATAAGGAGAACAGCTCCTAATAACTGGAACTGAAGGATTATGCAGTAATAGAGAGATGCAAGCACCTGTCTGGCGCTCAAAGAATAACAATAGTAGTAAAAAGTGTCCACAAAGTGGATATGCAGCTGGTGCCTTTATAGCATTGCTGAGTAATACATAATAACACAAATAATAATGAATAACTACGTTAATATGATCTATTTCGTTATGTATCGTATAAATACATTGTCCAATGTTAATATATATGTTACTTTCATCAATGTGTCTTTTTTTTTTTATAGTTTTTTCTCCTTTGTTTATTATCTGATTTCGTTGTAACCTTTACATCCTGGAGAGTGGATATGTGTCCATAACTATGTGAAGATAGAATGAAATTGGTCAACAAATAAATGTCACAACTCGCAAAACTTGAGACTTTCAATTTTTTTGGTTGATTTTTTCTCTGATTTCATTTTGTCTCTTTAGGTTGTTTTGATGATTAGGGACCATATTAGGGCTTTTTCACTTGTATAAAGTATACCCTAAATATATCCCCTAAATCATTATAATTATCCCTATATTTTGTGTTTTTTGGGGGTTATTTTTTCTTGACTTCATTTCAACACATATTGACCTACAACTTTCACATATTCGAGTACAAATGCCAAACAATGTTTATTAAAACATACAATAAAATTAACAAAATAAAACTACCTTTATTCATTGTTGATAACTTCAACTTCAATTATCTCTGAAACTAGAGTTTCAAATTTGAGTGGTTTCTAAAATTCCAGTTTCTGGGGGGAGCCCCGTCGGCTCCACAGAGCCAAGTCTGGGGCTCCCCCTTCCCCCTCCCGAGAGGGGGGAGCTGCGCCGACAGCGGCGCAGCGAAGTGTGACGTCACACTAGTTTACTTGTTTTCTGTTGGGGAATTCTATCCACTAGTTCGGCTTTTGGTAGCAATTATAACCAGAATAGAGGTTTGTTTTGGGGCGCTTACCTTTCTGGGTGCCTGATCTGGTTGATCCAACCACATGGAGATTTCTATAGGCTATTGCTCCCCTTGCCTCTCTGAGGGGGCCCGGTTCTGGCCGTGGTCCCAGGTAGGCCTAATAACTCCATACACATGACTGATGCCAAAGTCTGACATTAGCATATCAGCCTGGGATAGCTCCGGGGGAACCTCTGGGACTCACCCAGAAAAAGGCGTTTCGTTACATTCAACGCTGGTTTTTTGACCGATTCTCACTATTTTGACATAATGTGTGCTCAGCTGTCTGTTCTACAATCCCTTCAGAATGGATTTTTCATAAACTTTATTCATTTGGAGTTACAATTTTTTTTAGTCTAAATTTGCCGCATATTTCAAATGCCCTATTGACAATTTTTTTTTACAGTAAACTATACTGAAAACCTATATTCTAATTTTATGAAAATGATCATATGCTATTCTGAGAGAATAATAACATTAAATGAACAATTGGTGATAGTTCATATTTTTTATTTTGAATTTAAAATCTAAAGTTTTCAATATTCAATTTTAAAATTTTCATTCTCTTATTTTTCAAGCTACGCTGTGATCATTTAGACAAAGTTGGAGCATTTGCCTAGTTGATTATGCCAAAAAAATTGGAAAATGTGCAAGTTTTAAAAAGTTATGTTAATTTTTTGTCAAATCATATATGTATGTATTGCACGGTCTAAGGATTAATGAGGATAAGCTCCAGTTACTGTACTGTGCTATGGAAATAACAAAAAACATTAAAGCAGAAACCACATAAAACAGAGCCAAATCTCACTATTGAAAGAAAAAGCAATGTAAAAGGTTTAGGAGTTATATCAGAAGGTCTTACTTTTAAAGAACACAATAAAGTTGGTGTCACAACTACAAGAGCAATGACAGGTTGGATAACAAGAGATGCTATACCAATGATGATGATAAGTTATAAGAATTAGTGCTCTCTTACAGTGGAATATTATTGCACACTAACAGCCCCATTCAAAGCTGGAGAAATTGCTGACCTGGAGAGCATGCAAAGATCTTTCTCTACTAGAATCCACTCAATATAACATCTAAATTATTGGGACCGCCTAGAATTTTAAATCTGTATTCCTTTGAGCGCAAAAAAAAGAGAAAAATACATAATTATTTACACGGAAAATATTAAAAGTGCTGGTTTAAATTCAGCAACAGAAATAACAACACATGAGACCAGAAGGCATGTTAGGAAGTGCAAAATAACACTACTGAAATGCAGAGGTGCAATAAGCAAGCTCAGAGAGAACTCGATCAACATCAGTGACTGAAGACTTTTCAATACTCTTCTCTTACACGTATGGGGCATGGCAGAACAACCTCTCAGTGTTCAAAAGAGAATTCGACAAGCACCTTCAAAGGATACCTGATAAACCAAGCAGTGACTTGTATGTAAGGCTGCGAGCAACAGAATTAAATAGCCTGGTTGATCAGACCAGCAACCAGGAGGCTTTTTCAGAGACTGGGTTGCAGGGACATTGATCCTTGAAATTATCAATAGGCCTTTACAATGTATATTTTTTGCAACCTCTATCGACAGGGTTCCAGTCACCCTGTTTTTTCTCAGCCATTTCCATTGCAAGTTGTTGCATTTATTTTGCTGATGCTTCAGTACATCTGTCTCCCAATGGACTTTGCTCGTCATCTTCTTTTGGAATGTGCCCCTGTTGTTCTGATGCCTCCTCTGACATGGATAGAGGAAGAGGGGTGAAAATTCATTTTCTTCCCTGTGGTGCTAGTTGATGTACAGTATTTGCTTCTGGCTTCTTGAACTTTGGTCTTCAGTGCTGTTCCCCCTCGGTGCCATTGACTGTTCTCATGGTTGGGTTCTTTCCTTTCCCCCATTTTAACTATGTGAACTTTACAAAGTTCACTCATCAAGTGTGGCCTTTAAACAATCACATGAAGCCAATACTAAAGAATGAAACATTACGTAGCAAATGGGCCTTCACAGGACCGAGTCCAAAGAATGGCCAACACACCTAGAAAATTTCAGAGCCAGAAGAGCTGGTGACTCATGGATCGGTGAGACTTATCATGCAAAGGTCTGAGGGTTGTTGACAGGGAGTAGCTGGTAGCTCTCATGGAGTCAACACTTAGTGGTGGTTAACTGCTGCTTCTGCTTCTAGGTGGTTAGAAAACATCTAAACTACTGGGACCAACTAAAGAGCCTAAATCTATTCCCTTGAGCGCAGGCGGGAGTGATACATAATAATTTACACGTGGAAAATAATAGAGGGGGGGATGGTCCCAAACCTGCACACAGAAATAACATCACATGAGACCAGAAGACATGGCAGGATGTGCAGAATACCCCGTTGAAAAGCAGAGGTGCAACAGGTACTCTGAGAGAGAACTCTATCAACATCAGAGGGCCGAGACTGTTCAACAGGCTTCCACTACAAATAAGGGGCATGACTGGCCGACCCCTCACAGTGTTCAAGAGAAAACTGGATAAACACCTCCAAATGATACCTGATCAACTAGGCTGTGATTCGTACGTCAGGCTGCGAGCAGCCGCGTCCAACAGCCTGGTTGACGAGTCCAGCAACCAGGAGGCCTGGTCAACGACCAGGCCGCGGGGATGCTAAACCCTGGATGCACCTCAAAATAGGGGTGAATGTCCTAACTACTAGGTAGATAATTTGCCGAGTTGCTTGCGGCATTGTTTACTGCTGTGAATCTTAGTTGTCTGTCTTCCTTTACTTTCTGGAGTCTAATTTTTTTTTGGCCTCAGGTTGGTTTTCAGGATTTGCAAGAGCAATTTTGTGACTTATAGGAGTAGAGTTATCTCATTGCAGCTAGCTACAGGAAGCCACTGTTCAAACACTCCAGAAAAAAAAATAAAAAGAATTAGCTGAAGGCTCTTAAGCACGTATGGTATTGCTGATATTTTGAGCTCTTTATTTGGTGAAAGGGCATTTTTTTCTTTTTATCATACGCAGTCTTGGTTGGGCATAGACGCTCCCAGTTGAACCCCCTGCTTTTGTGTTTGAGGAAATGGATTACTTGGCTATGGAGATCTGTTCTTAGTTTGTGCCCCCTCCATGTCCCTTGTCTGTTTCAGCAGTTTGGGCCATGTTGGTGTGGTGTTCTTTATTTCCCCGCATCTTCCCTCAGTGCAGGGCCAGAAGAATTCAAGACCTCTGATGTCTCGGGCTCTGTTGGGTTTGGAGCCTGTGTGGCTTCTCTGGGGTAGGTGCTCCATCTGGGGCTGTGGTGGTGATAGTACAGCCTGTCCTCCTAAGGTTTCCCAATGTTAAGAAAACGGTCAATTTAAAGTGTACGTCACTTTCGCGAGCCGCTTCCATTTTCTAGTACAAAATTTTTGGCCTTATGTAACGCATACAATT